GCCAAATGTTGATTCCTTTCACTTTCTCATTGATAAAATTCAAAATAAACTCACGACATTGAAGGCCCATCTACTCTTGCCTGTTGGTAGAACCACTTTAATCAAAGCCGTCAATGCAACTATCCCCTCATACATCATGCAAAGTAACTCATTTCATAAGAAAACCATAAAAACCATTGAGAAATTAAATAGAAATTTTCTTTAGGGTTCGACTCTTGACAAAAGAAAATTCATGCAGTCAAAAAGGATAATGTTTTAAAACCTAAACAGATAGGTGGGTTAGGCATCAGATAGATCTACCTTGTTAATCAAGTGTGCATGGCCAACCTAAATTGGTACTTGGCAAATCCCAAAAATTCTTTGGAAGATCTCATTTATTCCTAAAGTCAACCACTTCATTTGGACAGCCCTCCAAAACCGTCTGAACGCTAAGGAAAATCTATTTGTCAGGAATATCACAACTGATAGTGTGTGCCATTATTACAGCTCTTTACCTGAATCCAATCACCATGCTCTGCGTGATTGTGCTTCAGCCAAGTCTTTTTGAGACATTCTCCATATACCTTCCAACCTCCTTCTATCTTTCAACCTTAACTTGATTGAATGGATCAAGACAAACAGCCTCCATTTTTCCTCCATTCCTTGGGTCATCGTATTCCCCTTTGCGGGCTAGACTATTTGGGAAAAATAGAAACAATAGATATGTAACAATCCCGACCTGTGATTAACTATTAATCCATGATTAAGAATGCCTAATAAGTAATTAAGGTGAAATTCTAAATTAATTGCATGTGTGTTGCACTCTTTGTGTTTATATCTGTTCATAGTAGAAATATTTGTTTATATTTCTGTTTTGTTTTGCGAATTGAAAGCCTTATCGACATTTTATCACGAAATTGACTTGATTTATGTGTTATTTGGAATTTTTAGAACATCATGATAGGTTCAATTGAAATTCAATTCGAAACGAATAAATTAGAATAAAATTGATCCCACTTAGTTATCTTTAACTCCAATTAACTAAGCTCCATTAACTACGCCTATATAAGGCTAGTATGTGCTTCAACCCACTTTCTTTTCACATCTTTGAGCCTATTCAAACAAACAAATGTGAGAATGGGAGAGAAAGGAGAAGACTTGAGCTCAAGCTAAGGGGTTGTTAGGAAGTAAAGGAATTGGACTTAGAGACTTAAGAATTAAGCCTCTTGCTCTCACTTTGGAAAGCTTAGGTAAAAATTCAACCATTACATTGCACAATTATGATGTCTAGACCACGAATTCAAGAGACTTTAGTTGTGTAATACAAGAATTGAGCTAAAATTGATGTATTTGAGCCATATCATGCATGCATGCACTTTCATCACATTCTGAGTTTGAATGCCGAATAATTCTCACATGCATGTACCAAGTCTACCGTAGTTTTGAGAATTCATCTTATTTTCCATCAATTTGTCTTATTTGATTATGATTTGGAAGCTTTGAAGCCAAAAATTATATACATGATTTGTTTTCAACATTTCAAGTTTGATCTTGCTCAATTGGCATGCTTTTAGGCCTTGATTTTGCTAAATGATCTTCCATTCATGATATTCAACAAGTTTCTACAAGTTTTCTTGAGTTTTGGCTTAAAATGATAAGTTTTGAAGTGTTTAATTAGCGTTTTGAGCCTCAGAGTGCAAACTGGAAATTTCAGAATTCTGCTTATCCGCTCAAGCGACAGAACCTTCTTACTCTGTGTTTTGCACATCCACTCGAGCGACCAAAAGTTGGCTCAAGCATAAAATGCATGCTCTTAGAAGTTTACAATTTTCGCAGACCGTTCGAGCGACAAGAGTTACGCTCGAGCGAAGACCTCAGTCTCACGCTCGAGCAATCGTCGAGCGTTCGAGTGAAAAAATCAAGCAACCAGTACTTTTGCAGAGTTTACAGACTACTTGAGCGACTGAAGTTGCGCTCAAGCGACCACTCACATTTTTTAGCCTCCGCTAGAGCGAAGAAAGTTGCGCTCAAGCGAAGGCCTTATTTTCAGCAAATTTTGTTAAGTGTTTCAAAGTGCATTTTGGTATTCACATTGCATCCTAGGCATTCCTAGGTCATGGTTAAGACATAATATTGAGGATAAGAAGTAGAAACGCACCAAGATAAGAAAGGACTAAGTTAATGATTCCGAGTGTGTAATTCAGTACGTATTCATTCTGTATCTGTGTAGGTCACGTGCCACAAGTTATCTGATTTGTCTGTTTTGGAGCCATCTGTGAGTAATAACTTTGTAAAGCTATGTTTAAGTTTAAGTAATTTCTTATATGATATGATATGATATGACAAGAAATGCTCTGTTTTTTGACATGTTATGTTCTGAATCAATGCATGATTGTCCATATATTGAAAAGTATTCGTGGCATCCTTAGCACCAGGCCCTAGCCCGAGGGTAACAATACCATGGTCTATGAGCACAAGGCCCTTGCTCAGGAGTAATAATACCGTGGTCTCACGGCCCTCACCTGGGGATAACAATACCGTGGCTCAAGCATGTTATAAGTTCCCAGTACCGGAGGTTCTTTTATGGAACCGGTCAAGTATGACCTTTAATGCTCTATACATGATATGTTAGTGCTAATGGGTGTACCACGTATGATCCTCTATGAAGCTGAACAAGTACATGTTTCTGAACTCTGAATAAGAATATGAATTTGTTTTTGCTTTTTGAATCTGATATGGGACATCTGTCATTTAACCCTTTACTCTGTTATTATTCACTGGGTTTTCGCTCACTATTTATATTACGTATATAGGTGAGCAGGTGCGTAACCAGGCCTAAGTTACTGTCTGGAGAGTTTCGAGTTAGCCAGCCACTGTGCTTCTCCGGGAGGTTTCCATTTGAAAAGTCAAGTTCTGAGAACCATGCCAAGAATGTTTTGTTATTTTGTTTTTGTTATCTGTACATTGGGCTAAGTCCCTTATGATACTACCTGTATAGTAATGCAAGACTTAAGGAAGTTTGACGTCATTTATGTATATATATGATTCAGTTTTGGGTCGTGACAAGGTGTTTTCTCCCCAACCCTGCCCTTCCCCTCAAACCCCTTGTGGAACATTGCGAAGGCCATGAAATGGTTTCATCTCTCAAACATCATCAACCCTAGACAACCCATCATTGCACTTGTTGGTTGAAACCCTCCCCCCACCCACTGTTTCAAACTGAACTCAAACGATGCAACAAGCAACAGCCAAGCAGTGACAAATTCGGGATAACCATAGAAACAAGATAATAGGCTACTGCAGAAACATTAGCAATACTTCAAGACTTTTAGCGGAATTTTGGACACTCGGAGATGGACTCAAATTGGCATTTGATCTTGATCTTACACTCATTGAAATTGAAACTGATGCTCTAACTTTGTAAATCTGCTAACCATGCAATGAACAACACCATCTTAGCAATCTCATTCTTGATCGTAGGTTTCTCTTATACAAACTCGGATCTCCAATTGTTAAATACATTTCCTTAGGGAAGCAAATAAAAGTGCAAATACCTTGGCAAATCATGGGATGCTCAAGGAAGATAACAAGATTCATATATTTCCCTTCTCTCCTATCCTACTGCTTGCATTTCTCAGTTTATTCCGAATGAGGCCATGGGAATGTCTTTTCCCAGAACTATGTACTAAGAGCATCTCCAATGCACTAGGCATATAATACTTGTTAGTTAAAATGCCTAGTGTGATTCACTTTTTTCAATTCCAATGCACTAGGCATATGATTAGGCATTTTGGCTCAACTCATATTCACTAGCTACATGTAGCTAGCCTTCAACGCTAGGCAAAATGTATTCAATCATTAGGATCATTTCCCTCCATCTTTGTTGTTGACGTGGCATTCTATAAAATTAATAGTATTTGGATAAATAGCTAAAATAAAGAGCATGGTTGGAGTAAAAACATAAAACAGTTGATAGGCAAAATAAAATATATACTTTATAGTAATATTTAGATAGATAAAATGCCTACTACCGTTGGAGATGCTCTAAATTTTCATCTATGAAGTCTTGATTAACCTAAAAAAAAAAAAATCAAAAATGCTTCAGAGCTTGAAAATGCTGAGGCTTGATTGGCCCGAATTCAAAACGACGTCGTTTTGATTTTTTTTTTCCTCTTCTCTTTTATCTGTGAAACAGAGAGAGGAAGAGAGAAAGAGAGAAGAGAAATGAAGAGAGAAGCGCCATCACCGACGCCACTACCGGCCATCTTCGCCATTACCAACCATCCTTTACACACAGATCTATTGATCTGTATCTCTCTCTCTCTCTCTCTCTCTCTCTCTCTCTCTCTCTCTCTCTCTTTGTTCTGTGTATCTATCTATCTCTCTCTCTATCTCATTTATGGATTTGATTTGTGGGTTTGATTTGTTTTGTTTTTTTGGGGTTGATTTGTATTGGGTTTGATTTTTTTTATTTTTCTTCTCATCTCTTTTATTGATTCTGTGGAAGAAGAAAAGAAAAAAAAAAGAAAGACTATTGAGGAAAAATAGATACAGATAGAGGAAGAAGAAAAAAATGTTGATTTGTATTGGTTTTGATTTGTACCCTTCCTTTCCTCTCTCTTTTTCTTTTTTTTCTTTTTTTTTTTTTTTTGATTATGTGGAAGAAGAAAAGAAAAGAAAAAAAATTGAGGAAGAGTAGATGCAAATAGAAAAGAAAGAAAAAATATATATATGTCAAAACTACATCGTTTTAACCCGTTGAGGCATTTGAGCTTTAGAGGATAAATGCTGAAAAATCAATCATTTACTCGCTTGTTAGATTGTCAAACTAACCATTGTAACCACAAGAAGGAAAAAAATCGTAAGGTGTGAGGTCTGTTTTCAAAAGCAATATAATCTTGACCGTTCAATGAAGAGTAACGAATGACAAGCGGTCACTGATCGAACTCAAGCGCGTATTGCAACTCGTTTGCGTCGCACACGGTCTGAATTCCGTAAATACGAAGAAGGATCATAAATCACAAATATAAATATCTCCTCGTAGAAGAAAACCGAGAGAGAGAGAGAGAGAGAGAGTCCACGATCGATCGATCGACGATCAATTCGATCCTCAGAAACAAAATTGAGATCAGGCACTGCAAAATCATCGTAGATCTAAAAATTTTGAATCTGTAGAAACCCTAGTAGATCAGAGATATGGGGAACACAGAGAAATTGATGAACCAGATCATGGAGCTGAAGTTCACGTCGAAGAGCCTCCAACGTCAATCGAAGAAGTGCGAGAAGGAAGAGAAAGCCGAGAAACTCAAAGTCAAGAAAGCGATCGAGAAAGGAAACATGGACGGCGCTCGAATCTACGCCGAAAACGCCATCCGCAAGCGCAACGAGCAGATGAATTACCTCCGCCTCGCCTCTCGCCTCGACGCCGTCGTCGCCAGGCTCGACACTCAGGCCAAGATGACCACCATCAGCAAGTCCATGGGCTCCATCGTCAAGTCCTTGGAATCCTCCCTCACCACCGGCAATTTGCAGAAGATGTCTGAGACCATGGACCAGTTCGAGAAACAGTTCGTCAATATGGAGGTTCAGGCTGAGTTTATGGAGAGTTCCATGGCTGGAAGTACTTCTCTTTCCACTCCCGAGGGTGAAGTTAACAGCTTGATGCAGCAAGTCGCCGATGATTACGGCCTCGAGGTCTCCGTGGGCCTGCCGCAGCCGGCCGCCCACGCGGTGGCTGTGAAGGCCCCGGAGAAGGTCGACGAGGACGACCTTTCTAGGCGCCTTGCCGAGCTCAAGTCCCGTGGGTAATCGAAAAGCAGTCCTATTCTGTTACTAGTAATTTGGTTTTTCTGTTTAAAAGACTCTGTGTATGTAAATTTGAATGAATCTGTGATCTTCATTTTTATGTACAACTTGTGTTACTGGATATTATGTTTTGATGCACTGCTACTACTCAGTACTCAATGCCAGCCCTATATGCTTATTGCCGTATTTGTGATTCTGTTATCTTCTTCTATGGTGTTGGATTTACCGAATTGTGCTATGTAGGTTTCTTGAGTTGTGTTTGGATATCAATAGTCCTGCTGATTTCTGGTTCCTATCCTTGTGTTATTCTGATTTTATGTTGTGACAAATGAGCATGTATGTGAATGCTAATTCTGATTTTATGTTGTGACCAAAAAACTTGTATGTTGGTATGCTACAATTTATATTTATTGCATACAGATCGAAGGATTTAATACTTTGTTTTGATTGCCTTTCTTATATGGGAAATTCTATAATAGACACCCCTAAAAAAGAGTACCATATGTCCTAGTTATGACTTTGGTTATAGTTCATTGTGATGTTAGTTGTGTCTTAGCTGTGACCTATTGTGATTGTTACTTTGGTTAGGGCTCAATTGGTGTTTAGTGATTGTGGTCTTTTTGGTTATTATGGAAAGTGGTTTGGTTATGGCGTGAAGTGATGTGATATAAACGCCACAAAATGTCATAACATTTATATATGCATGCATATTCTGTGTATTTAAATGCAAATTTGATAACATGCTGGTAATCATAGTATTGTTAGTTTTATTTTTGGATTTGATTGAGATTTGATTTTCAAGTAAATTTGATTTGAGGAGGTGAAATCTTTTGTTGATATCTATTTGGATTTTGGACTTATGTTTTTCTTTTTAGTTAGTAGTATCCAAAATTTATTTTTTAAAGACCTGATTTTTCATGTTTTCTTTGTGGTGTTTGGGTAGATTAAATAAGTTGCTTATAACTTATTTTAATGTGGTAGTTTGTGTTTATTACGCAAAAATAGCTTAAATAAATTGAAAAAAGTTAATTATCTGGAAGTTAAGGGATGAGTGCTTTTGACTTATGCTTTTGATTATCAGTTTTACAATAACACCTAACAGATCCCTCGTGAAGTTTCTAGATTTGTTGATTGTGCACTGCCAAATTTAATTTTTTTTGTCTCTCAATTGTTTTGTATGTGAATTTTGTTATTACGGAATAATGTGAACCTTGTGGGTGAATTTGATCATGTTATGTATATTAACTTATGTCATATGTTCAAAGCATGTAAGTAGACACTAGAGTTATGTTGTGTCATGTTGTGTCAGGAAAAATCGATTTTCCTTGAATGTTAAATTATTTTGTTTAGATGAGAATAACCTTATGATGAAATACTGTAGTGTAGCTGAAAATTGTCTTGGGAGAACTGATGATGAATCCTTCCTTTTGATCACACTATTGGATGGATGGAATTTGGTAATTGGAAGAATGGAGTGCTTATTTCAAGATTAGACTTGAAAAGAAATTCAAAATTTGATGCAAGTCCATGGAAACTTCTTGTTGCCTCCACTTGGTGGCGGCTATATGATAATTGAGGAGAAGAAAAGAAAAAGTATTTGAAGTTTGTTTTGTTTAATTTTGAGATTCATAATGTGATTTTTTAGGTTGAAATCTTTATTCAAAATTTTTTCTTCCATTCTGGGGCATCTAAATTGTTTTCACTATTGCAAGCCACTTTGGTTTTGCTTGATGTTCTTCCTTGGGTGCATCTTTTGCGTCGTGCCTATGGGAAGCCAAAGGAGCTATATTTTCATCCTATGACATGGGGGACTCGACGTTTTTTAAACTCTCTCTCATACACACACATATATATTTATTTATCCCCAAGTTCATTGATCAGGAAAAATATATTACGAGAGAGGTGTGAATTATAGATAGAGATAGAGATAGAGATAGAGGACGGATAACAAAATATATTAACAAGATAAATGCAAAATTTAGGAAGAACAGCCCCAGTTGGTCCAAGGGGAGAGAGATAACATGGTCAAATGCGTGTCAAGTGCGGTGCTGCAGAAAATAAGAAAAACTTGTGAAGGTGATTTGATCCTGAAATTGGCAGCAAAACAAGCAAGAGTTAGGGACGATAAGTTTACAGCCGTGAAAGTTGTTTCTAGGAAAAGTAGCAAAAACCAAAAGCCACTGGAGCTATTGTTGCAGGATAGAGAGCCCTGCACTAAGGGCTCACAAGCAAGGAAGACGTGGGAAACAGTGGAAAAGGAAGAACCCCAAAGAGCCTGTTCTGTTCTATTTTCGTTTTCATTTTTTTTTTTTTTTTTGTGCGTGTTTTATAGAAAAAAAAGAAAGAAGGGAAATTATAAAAATAAAAATAAAAATCTTAGAATTTGACATTTATAACAAAATAAATTCTGAATTTTTTATTTTGTCAATTTAAACTTAAAATTTTAAAGTTGTTTTTAGGGAGTTTTTTTGATAAATTCTTTTTTTAAGAGTTTTTTTCCATCCAACTCATATTTTTTTTTACTATTCCATTAGGTCTTATTTGAAGTAAGAAGACCAAAATACCATTTTCATTTACTTATGTTCCATTTAGTCTACATTATTTTCTTATGTTTCAATAAGTCCTATGGGTGACATAATTACCAAAATATCCATAATGTGAATGTTCACACCGTCAATGTGAATGTTCACACCGTCAATGTGAATGTTCCTATTTGAGGTAAGAAGACCAAAATATCCTTTTCATCTATTTATGTTCTATTTAGTCCACATTATTTTCTTATGTTTCAATAAGTCCTATGGGTGACATAATTACCAAAATATCCCTAATGTGAATGTTCACATCGTCAATATGAATGTTCATACTGTCAAATGTTCACACCGTCAATGTGAATGTTCCTATTTGAGTTGAGAAGACCAAAATACCCTTTTTGTCTACTTATGTTCCATTTAGTCTACATTATTTTCTTATATTTCAATAAGTCCTATGGGTGACATAATTACCAAAATACCCTTAATGTGAATGTTCACATCCTATGGGTGACATAATTACCAAAATACCCCTAATGTGAATGTTCACATCGTTAATGTGAATGTTCACACCGTCAATGTGTAGGGGCTCGGCCTAGCCCGGGTTGGGGCCAACCTATGTAAAGCCTCGTGGGTGCTTGCCAAAATTCAGGCCGGGCCAGACCGGCCCACGGGCCAAAAAATTAGGCCTAGGCCCTAGCCCTGGTACAAAGGTATTCAGGCTTTGGGTGCCCCGGTGGGTCGAGCCAAAAGGCTTGGGCCTAGACTTGGGCTTGGGTCAAGCTTGGGTGAGCCTCGCCATTTTTTTTAATTCTTTTTAATTTTTTCTCTCAAAATTTTATTATTTTCCACAAAAAAGACACCGGGCCTCTGGCGGGCTGGGCCTCGGGCCGAGCCTTAAATGGGCCTTATGTGGGCCGAGCTTCAAAGTGATGGCCCAGGTCCTAGCCCAAATTCTCGGGCTGGGCTCGGGCCCGGGCCCAAATGAGCTTGCCCCGGGCCGCGGGAGGGCTTCGGGTGGCCCACGGGCCACAGGCCAATTTTACACTCCTATCAATGTGAATATTAACATGATATTCACATTGTCAATAGGTCGAACCTGCTCCGGGCCGCGGGCCAATTTTACACTCCTATCAATGTTAATGTTAACATGTCAATGTAAATATTCACATTGTAAACGGGCCAGGCCGGGCCCGCGGGCGGGTTTCGGGCCGCCTACAGGCCGCAGGTCAATTTTACACTCCTATCAACGTGAATGTTAATATGTTAATGTGAATATTCACATTGTCAACGGGCCGGGCCGGGCCCGTCCTGGGCAGCCCACGGGCCGCGCCACGAGCTAATTTTACACTTCTATCAATGTGAATGTTAACATGTCAATGTGAATATTCACATTGTCAACGGACCGGACCCGCCTCGGCCTAGGAGGGAGCGTCGGACCGCCCACGGGCCACGGGCTAATTTTACATTCTTACCAATGTGAATGTTAAAATATGAATATTTACAGCTCGCCCCGTCCCGGGCAACGGGCGAAGCCCGCCCACGGGCCGCGGACCAATTTTACACTCCTATCAATGTGAATGTTAACATGTCAATGTGAATATTCACATTGTAAACGAGTCGGGCCATGTCCGCGGGCAGGTTTCGGGCCGCCCACAGGCCGCGGGCCAATTTTACACTCCTATCAATGTGAATGTTAACATGTCAATGTGAATATTCACATTGTAAACGGGCCGGGTCGGGCCCGCGGGCGGGTTTCGGGCCGTAGGTCAATTTTACACTCCTATCAACGTGAATGTTAATATGTTAATGTGAATATTCACATTGTCAACGGGCCCGCCCCGCCACGGGTGGGTTTCGGACTACCCACGGGCCGCGGGCCAATTTTACACTTCTATCAATGTGAATGTTAACATGTCAATATGAATATTCACATTGTCAACGGATTGGGTCCGTCCTGGCCCGGGGGCGATCTTGATCGCCCACGGGCCACGGTTTACGTCGGCAATATGAATGTTCACACTGTCAATCTAAATGTTCACACCGTCAATGTGTAGGGGCTCGGCCTAGCCCGGGTTGGGGCCAACCTATGTAAAGCCTCGTGGGTGCTTGCCAAAATTC